CTAAGGGACCTTAGCTAATGTCACATACCTTCAATTTCTCCTGCAGCTCCGATTTCCCCTCTTAGGGAACTCATCTTTGCTCCAAATGTCCTCTTCAGCAACACAGAGAGTTTAGCAATGGGTGAACTCATTTTCTCTGAGTCAGGAATTATTCAAACGTCAAGGGTTTTGGAATTTGAAGGGGATTCTTGGTTTCTGCATCAGGTCACCCATGACAGAGTGCAACTTCTGTTTTCAAGTGGGATGAAAAAGCTTTTAAGTAGCTTATTGAAAAGGCTTAGAAGATTTTGTGGACATCAAATAGTTTTTAAAGGGCAATATTTTGATGGTTTAATTATAAGAAAACAGGAAACATGCAGATTAAATTGACCTTAAAACACACATGGTTTTAAAAGTTAAAGGCGAAGAATTCTGACAAAATACATTTTTGGGGGGAATCTAAAACACATGAACAAAATCGAGAGGCCTGATGAATTCAGATTATAGCAGTTGGACTAACGTGATCTGCCATGTAGTGCTCAAGGAGCCTGCAGGTCATGTCCCTGTGTCATCTTCGACTTCTAGTCCTCTGGGAATCCATTTTCCACCTCAACTTTTGCCTCTGAAAATGGATAAAAAATACTAAATCCTTCCCCTGGCCAAGTATTTTTTAAGATTCCAAAGAAAATTGTGTGCTCTTTGAATACTTTACAAATGTAAGATATGTTCCCAAGTAGAATAGGGTCTTACCTTAAGGAATTTAATGATTTTTATTCTGATTATCTTCTTGTCGGTGAGTTCACTGTCTACAAGTTATGTGATTTAAGATATCTCAACGTTTATATTCCCTTGACACCGTGGTATTCAATCTTTTCTACCCATAGAAACTTTCATCAAATAGCAAGTGGATTAGAGGGCATGTACTTTGGTGGCACTGGGCAGGTGTTTCCTCCTCTCCTAGTGATCCAACCCTGGGGCACAGTTTAGGGCTACCCAATAGATAGCAAATTTGCTCAGGGTGCCTTGTTTCTGTGTATCTGGTGACTTTCGTGTGCATATTTGTCATTGTCTTTGAACAATCATCTGTGGGAAACTTTGAGTCCTGCCATGAGGGTCCATTTCTCCAGAGCGGTTTTGCTTCTGCCTGGCACTTGTGCACAGTCCTTAAATACTTTACATCCAGTCAGGGTTTAAGGCTCTCTGCTACCTCTGGGCAATACAAACCCACATGCAAGTCCTTATGTGGGCTGGCCTGTGGCTGTAAAGTCCCAGAGACAGATTTGTTTTCTATCTTCTATTTTCAGGTCTCTTCTCCATCCATGGGTTTACCAGGAACTTGTCCCTGTCAGGCTGACACATTCTCTGAGGATGTAGTCTTCAGCCTTAGCTAGTTTGGGGAAGGAAGTTTTTTTTTTACACTCCCCTCTTACATTGGTCTAAAGCTTTGACTTCTCCATGAGACCAGCAGAAGGTAGCAAATGTCTTCTGAATAAAAGCAACTCTGGAGCTCAGGTCTTGATTTTCTCTTGGCTTCTTTTTATCCTTTAAATTTTGGCTTGGTCATTGTCGCTTACATCCTTGTTAGCTTATTGATACTTTTATGAAACCGTTTTAGTTAAGTTGTTGTTGTTATTTTTATTTTTTATTTTTGGGGGGTAGATTTGGTCTGAAAAAAAAAAACAACCCCATCCCATCATTTCTGGAAATGGAAAATTTTCTAGCTGCAAAACTGAGTCTGACATTCCCAAGCATTTGATAATCAGCTACATCCTACCCTATGGGGCTTTGAGGGTGAGAATAAGGAGGTCCCTCTCTGCTTCTCCTGTACTGCTGACTATGTATGTTCCACTGTGTTTCACTGCTAATCTCCACTAATCTTTTCCACTAATAATCTCTGTATTAAAGATTTTATGAGAATCCCATTGATTTCAGCTTTATACAAGGGAGTATTTATGGAGGTATAAAATATGATTTATTTTCAGTTCTAAGAAATTTTGGATGCTGTCTATATTAAAGGCTAAATTTAATTGGCCTTCAGCTTGAGGGAAAAAAGCAATATGTTCTGAAAATGGTTGTAAGATGTCACTAATTTAGCCTCAGTAGAAAACTAACCCTAAGTTGAGAAAATAGTACCAAGCCTTCCAATATAGAATTTCCCCACTTTGGCTAAATTGGTATTAAACTTCTGTGCTTTATATCTCTTATCAAAAGAGAGTCTGATGAAGAGCAATCATGGTCTCAAGCTTAAAGCCAGTCACTTGAATCTCTGCAGTCAAAGAAAATTCAGTCAGAAAGCTGAAAGTAGGGAATAGATGTGGGTGTCTTGCTTATAGAATGATGACCAGTGCCCTCAAAGAAAGGAAAAGAATGCTCTTCTGCACTTGATGATTCTGCCTCTGACAATGGCCTTCTCAGGGGCTGACCTTGGCCATGGCTGGGCCTCGACCAGCAGTGATGGAGCAGGGGAAGCCAAAGGGGCCTTGTGATAGATGCTCAGTGGGATTTGCAAGATCGAAGGAAGGAAGGAAGGAAGGAAAGCCTGGATGAGCATAAGATCAGAATATCCTTCCCTTCCCACCTGGCAATCTTCTTTCTGCTCTCCAGAGATCACTTGTCACCCTGTTGCTTCATGACTTGCTGGAAACAAATTTTGCTTTCTTCACAACACCTGACCTAGGGCAATATTGTTCAATGTGTGGCATACAGACCTTATATATGACCCAAACTGCAGATTCCTGGGCCCTTTCTCACTCCAACTGGATCCATATTTCTGGATCTGCACAGGTAGCACTACCATCAGTGATTCCAGGGTAAAAGGAGTAGGAGGAACACTGCAGTATGTGACCATCATCATTGCCTTTGCAAACATTTCTTAAGCTACCTCTGAGTTCATTCCACAATTTATTTTTCACTCTATAAAAATGATCCGTAGGAAGGCTGTAATCTACTTTATCGGGCTGCTCGATGTTTTCTAGTGTTAAAGGCATCAGTTTGCCGTATCACTATAATCATCTTCATTAAAGTATTGTGCCATTATGAGCTTTCTATAGAATGAGAAAAATAGGTTGAAAGTTGTCTTTCTCAACTCTAGACGGTTGAACCTGAACTATGACAGTACTGTTGAAGATGTAAAGTTGGGAACCTGAAGAGTTAGAGGGGAAAGGAGTTACTCCTCTCAGTTTTCCATAGTTCAAAATTCTTTCAATCTTGAACCAGTAATTCATTTCAGCAAGCTTGGCTTATCTTGTTCCAGTATGGCTTCACATAATAAAACGAAAATTCTCATCAGAATTCCTTTTATGAATCAACAAGGGATGGATCTTGAATATCTGGCCGGACTAATTCCTTTTGTTCAGGAAAATCCCACAGATGTAAAAGACATTTTTCTTTCTTTTTTTTTAAGAAGAAAAAAAATCTCTCAAAATAGGTCAATGTTCCTAAAAAGTAAACTCACATGAATATTGTTCGTTTTGCCAAGTTCAAGAGAATTGTAAAGCAGGATATAAAGAATCAAAGAACACACAGAAGAGAGATTTTAATGGTTAACTGTGCTGTGTAAGAGCAGAAAGGCTCTGATATCTCTACAGCACATCCCTGTGTGAAAGAAATGTAGATTAAAACCACAATGACTTAACACAGTATATATTTTGCTGCAGACAATAGGTAGGCAATTTGTCAGTTGTTTTTCATAAAATGAGGCAAGTCTCAGCTGAATTTTCAACTTCATTTTAAGAGCAAAAAAGATATAAAGCAGTATTTACATGCAGACACAGGCAATGAACTATATTGCAATGGATTTACTATTTCCACTGTATAGGTAGATTGGAAAGCAGCTGAACATGTAGGATTTGAGTCCTTACTTGTCATGTGTGCTGTGGACCTGCCATGGCAAGCTGTTTTGCTTCACAAACATAAGATCTCCAGGAAAACAGGCTTCTGCTATGGACGTATCCTGCCTGCACTGGGGAAATGCTTTAAGTATGTTTTGCCAAAGGAAAAGAGCAATTGAAAGAAAGGCACGCAGGAGCCTTGTGAGGTAAAGGACACAGAGACGTTAATGGTTTGGATCATCTGAGGTCCCTTTGCCAACAAATGAAAAACCTGCCTCTTCCCAAAAGACAGGTACTGTAAAGGAGGGTTCACCAGACCTCCAAATATAAAAGCCAATATAAGAGCTGAAAGGATTCAAATAAAACACAGCTTCTTTTAGTTTATGATGGCCCACTGGTGGCTCAATGCCTGATGTCACCCAGGATCTTGTACCTAGCTATGAGGAATAAGTACAATTTTCCAGAAACAAAGAAGTATTTTTTAAAAATTTCATTGATTTAGAGATCACCTGATCATTGCTTCTTGTATTAATTACAAAGAAATGGATTTAGCTTTAAATTTTCACCTCTCCAAAGGCAAATAGAAGAGAGGGTTATAACCACTTTTAATGAAATCTCCAGAGCAATTTATGTGCACTGCATGTTTTAAACAATGAACAGGAAAACCCAAGCCATTTCCTACTGCAAGATTCGATGGCGTGAAAGCGAAAAGCATTGTGTGCTACCCTAATGAGTAGAGAGTATGTGTGTTCAAATCAACTAAGAGTGGCTGGGAGAAGGGCTCCATTGAGGAGGACTAATTCTCTCACCCGAAAGCATCTGGTAGTTGGAAAGTTTAAACATAAAGTCCATCCACAGCTGGATTGAGGTATGTAAGTGTCACTGATAATTTATCTGCCAAACACATAATCTAACTCTCTTGTAGAAAAGGACAAGAGAAGAATCCTCAAAGGGGGCACAACAAATCTCACCACAGATTCCAAAAGGCCAAGATATCTTGCCTTTTTCTCACTCTTATCTTTTCTTCCCGGTCTGTCTTATGTGAAGATGCCGGCCCTGGTTTACGTCTTTGGTATTCTCTTTCATCCAGTGGAATTTGTGCTGTGTCTTAAGAGCTCTTCTGAACCATAAGTAGCATATTAATTAATTATTGAGTTAGTGAAACAAATTGCACATCAGTGTATTTTATAATTATTTTCCAATTAGATTTGGTTTATTGAGTTAGAGGAGGAGGAGAATGGGATTCCTGGTTAGGCTACAGAGAAGAGCATGTGGGGTTATGTTCTGAACTGGGAAACATTTTGAGCTTTCTTATTAAATAAACTCAAGCAGCACATGTATGTGCAGCAGCTGGAAGAGTGTAGAGGGAGTGAAATTCTCAGAATCAGATGCCGTATTTCTTCTTTGCAAGATTTTCCCAACTTTTGGAAAGGCTGCAGATCCAAGGCAAGTGCAAATAGGGCCTGGAAAGATAATGCTGAAAGAGGAAAATGAAGAAGTTGACGTGTTATTGGAATGGGGTCAATCATGCAAGGGATCTGGAATTTAGATTATTTCAATTTTGGTCCATGGTATAAGGGAAAGGAAACCTAGAAATCACAGTGGACATTGTATCTAAATTGTCACTTGCCACATAGATCCCCTTTGAGAAAATACAAAAAAACCCTCTTTGTCTATTTGGGAACATCTCACTTTCATGGCTCTTGGTACATGGTTAGTGTATGTTCTCCTGAAATATTTGGTTACTGATTTGGACTCTTTATTGTAAGCTTTCCTTCCCTATACCAGGGATCCTTCCTCAAGCAAGGTCCTCCATCCACATTTGTCATGTTCTGTTCAATCTGGTCACTATTTCCTTCTAAATGTCGCCCTCCCTTGTCACTTCCAGGAGCCTCTGCTCAGCTGTGCTGCTTTGTCCTGTGAACACTCAGGGTCTTCCTGGGCTTGTGCTTAGAGCATTGTGCATTCTCTGCCTGATCCTCTTTCTCCTCTCTATTTACCCAGATTCTACCCATTCTTCAAGGTCCAGCATGCAGACTGCCTCCCCCTGGAAGTCACTCCTGCTTTTTCTACCTCCAAGCCCATAGTGCTCTTTCTGAACCATCAGCTTAGTAGTTTACTTTATGCCATTGTATGTGTCATCATCTATATTGGTTTTGTCCTTTGAGACAGAACTTGGGTCTTATACAACTTCACAGGCTTGAGGACACTCCTCAATGTGTGGTTGGGACTCAATGAACTGGCCCAAGCGAAAATAAAAAATGGCCCAAAATATCCTAAGAAATATTCCTTTTATATTTTTAAATTCCTGCAAATTAACATTAGATTTATTAAACATAATTTGTTAGATTTCCTAATTTTAAAATTTAAGTAATAAATCATTAGCTCTAAAAATACATTAAATTTCTAAAAAGATAGATGAATGATTTTATTTGTTAGCACTACAGTGTTATTTTCTCATAGAATAGAATGATATTAATTTAAAGAAACTACTTATCTCTATTACATTTTAAAATGTATTCTTGTCCTGGTTACAGAATAACCATGGATAAACTTGTCATGTGACATAAATTTTAAAAGAGGGAGAGAGAGAAAAGGATACCTTAGTGACTTTCTGGCCCTCCCATACTAAAATGTCCCGGATTTGACCTCTTTTCTTCATGGACATTCACCCTTTGCTTCTCCTCTCTTTTCCCAGAGCTCTTTACCAGAGCGCAATGTGCTGTTCTACTAAATCACAAACTATTGTAGCATGCAGTGCACACTGAGAGGCAGCTAAGTGGTTAACTGCAGTTCATGGGCCCAGCCAAGCTAAAAAGCAGCTTGTTCATCCAACCACTCTCTTTTTTACTCTTTTTCTCTGGAGCAGTCCCAGCTCTAATTAAAATATAATCTTCTCCTTATGTGATTCCTTGGAAAAGTTTATGGAATGACCACATAATACAGAGCAGGCTTTCCAGATGTTCCCTGTCTTGGCTGGTATGCTCTTGCACAGTCTCCACCCCCAAATTTCTCTTCTATGTACTTACCATATGACCTCTTTCCCCTCCTACTTTTCCCCTGCTGTCCCCGATATATTGTACATAACTTCCTGAGTCTTATTGTTGTGCCTTCAGTGTATAAGAACCATTACTGGAGTGCAGTGGGCCAAGAAAAAAGTAATACTTGCCTCCACAGAGCACTTTAATGCTATTTACAATGGAAAAAACAACTTTGAACTGCTTCCAAAATAACAGGCATTAAAATCACTTCTGTTTGCAGTTGTGATGGATTTTGCAGTAACTTTTCCAAACCTGCTTCCTCTGAATGCTTTTCAGTCCATAGAGTGGCTTTCTCAATGAAATTTTAAAATGGTGCCCACATAAACACTCGACATACACCACAAAAGGTAATTTGCCAACACTTATTCTAACAGTTGCTCATGAAACCGGGGTCTGCAGTCACATGATCCCAGTGATGAGTGTACAAACATGGAGATATTCTGAAACACAGCTCCGAACTCTGACCTAGCACGAGCAGGCACTGTGGCACAGCCATCAGGGTGAGGCATGTGTTTAATAGATGAAGTGATGACTTCACACAGTTCCATGAATTCATTTCCCACACCTCTCCTCACACCTATTTTCCATAGAACTTATATGACTTCAGTGTCTTCATTTGAGTTCATTAAACATTCTGAGGATTGCTCAGTCAGAGGTTGTAAGGTGGTATTCTATAAGTGAAATTCATGTGATTTTTTTTTTTTTTTTTTTGGTACCGGGGATTGAACTCAGGTCCTTGTGCTTGCAAGGCAGGCAGCAGAACCACTGAACTAAATCCCTGGCCCATTCATGTGATTTTTTTTTTCATTCATGTGATTTTTGCTTTGTTTTTATCTGTATAATAATTTAAAAAATGAACTAATAGCTAATGTTTAAAAATTGAAATAGTCCATTCACAAATTTGGATTTCTGGCTGTTGAGAGATCATTTTGACCTAGAGCTGTTGCAGTAGCAGAGAATTCTGCCCCCACAGGGGAGGGCTCTCTGCTCTCAGCACCTTCTGATTCTAGTCCTGCTTTCCCATTAGTTGCTTGGTGTTTGAATGCAGCATTTTGGCTCATAACTTTTTCAGTTAAAGTATTGTGTAGACAGATTTTCTGCCAAGCAAAATATGACTTAAGCCAAATGTTGTTAGTTAACTGTTTTTTTAAAAATCAGATTTTTTCCTCCATACTGTATTTCCCAGTTATCTATGTTCTTAACCATGAGTTTCCAAGAAAACCAAGGTCTATCATTCAGCAAAGCTAACGTGGTTAAGGTCAAGGCCTTTGGAGGCATGTAGCCTCTTCCACTTTCCAGTTGTGCAGTGCTAGAAAAGTGGCTTAGCCTCTTTGTGTCTCAGATTTCTTACCTATAAAATGGGGAGACTGCTTCACACAGTGGTTCCCGCTGGTGGTGGTTCTCTTTGGAATCATCTGGGGGGCTTGTTGGAACATGGATGAAGACTAAATACGAAATGTGTAAAACACAAGATATAGTGCGTTAGCCACTTCAACTGTAAGAAAAATGTGTATTCATTTTGTTAAAGACCCAGTATTTAACTTTTTATAAAATCTAATGAATTATTGCATTTTAGTAAATAATACCAATCAATGAGGACCGAGGTATAATTAAATTCTTATTTCTGCAGTCTATATATTCTCATAAAGCAAAAATGAAAACCCCTCTCTTAAACTTGGTTTGATCTTAATTTGGGTCCCTTGTTCTTCCATCATTTTAAGGGAAGAATTCATAGACTTGCCACAAGACAGGAAGGAAAGGTGGGCAAGAAAGGAATCACCTTAGTTGGGTAAAATTACGTTCCATTCTTCTACCACCTCTCTGTCTCCTCCTATGCACGCCTAGAATCCAGACCCAGCAATGGAGGCCACATTAACAATTTGGAGCTCCCTGTCTCCCTCCCTCCCTCCCTTCATTTCTTCCTTCCTTTTTTTCCTTCCTTCCCTCCCTCCCTTCCTTCCTTGTGCTTTTCTTTCTTCTTTCCTATATTTTAACATTTACTATAAAAGGAATATAACATATATTTTGCAATGCTGGCAACTGACACCTCTTTGGAAGACTTTAGAATCTCATCCAGCTTGTTTGATTCCATAAAGGAAGATGATTCAGCATGGTATTCAAGCAAATTCCACTCACAAAAATAGCCCCAGTACATATGCAACAAATTGAAGCTACATAAATAACACCTGGGGTGTAATGCATTATAGCTAATTAAAGATTTATGGACCCCTAATTTTCAAAAGGTTGACTGACACATTACAGTCTACTTCCTCCTGTGGTAGACCAAGTAGGATTTCACTGGCCCTTTATGTGGGAGACAATGGATGGTAAGTATGAACTGCAGCACATTAGGGATGTGCTAGGGAAAGTTTCCCTAAGCATTGAGCTTATTGAATAGTAAGCTTTGATACCGAGAAAGAGTGTGGAATCCCCTTTTCTGAAAATTGTAGGGAAGGATCTATGTGCAGTTCTATCCAGAGATACCAGACTAAACTCAGTGATCTCTGCAGCTTCCTTTTAAGTCTGATTTTGTGAATATTTTTGTTACATCAAACTGCTCACTGCTTCCCTGCACCCCAGACACTTGTAAGCTACCACATATCCTCTTCACTGCATAGTTAACTGCCATGCAGACTTTTACGAGCAATTCTAATAAAATATCCATCCAGAGAAGCAGAGAGCATCAGCGTCAAAAGTGACTGTGACTTAGAGCAACCTTTGAGATAGGATCTCTCAATTGGTATTTAAATTTAAATACTGCATCATAATTCAGGATGCTAAATCAGTGTGTAAAAAGGGATCAATACCCAGTAAAACTACAAGCAAGGGTGGCATAGACCACATGGCTCCTTTTTCCATCAAAATGCTTCCAACTTGCCTCCAGATCTGCTTGACACTGCCTCATTTGACATTACATACTCCATAAAACTTTACACATTTATAATGGGTGACAATAAGACTGGGCAGCTATTGTGGCATATAATGGGAGAAAGAAGTTACTAGACCATAAATATGGACATCGTTTTCTAGCCAAATGCTTTATTAATGATAAATCAGCAGTCCCAAATTAACACAGACATGATAAAGTATCTACTCCATTGATAGATTTTCATTATGAACTGTACTTACAGGCTCAAACTGAGAAGACTCAACTAGTCCAAGAGCACCTCCAACCCCTGAATAATGTTTCTCTTATGATAGGTGAATAGGATTCATTTTAGGAACATTTCAATAAATCTCATCTGGAGTGAGATTCATTTTGCTTAAATAGACCAAAGAGTTATGAAAAATAGACGGATTTTTCCTGGTGCCATCAGAAAGGAAAGCACAAGAAGTATTATGCCCTTGAAATTTTAAAGATCTCACACCCTACAGAATGTCTGACATCATTAGATGATGTAGAATATAAGGAAAGTGTAGAAGAATGGCAAGGAAGTGAAACTGGAAAAACAAGGATATATTTGCATCAAACAACTGGAAGGAAGAGAAAGAATTCTCGTCACTGGACCATTTGCCCCTTTCCTTCATGCGTATGTGCCAAGTCAGTCAACAGTGCTTTGTAGGACATAGAAGCTTAGGCTTAAAAGGTGAGGGTTTCAGTAGTCTGGGCTAACAGCAAATCAGTACTTTTTTCAACTTGAGAGAGCAAGCAGTTTGGCAGATCTTTGGTGTTCTAAACTAACTGATCAGTTCTCCCTTCACTTGTTTAGGCCTCTTGAAAGAAAGAAAGAAAAGAAAGAAAGAAAGAAGAAAGAAAAAGAAAGAAAGAAAGAAAGAAAGAAAGAAGGCAACCCAAGAGCTATGATGTTTGGTGTGGGAGGATATACCAAGACCTTATTACAAACTAATTCAGGGAGACTTTTTCTATACCTGTGATGATATCTCAAAGTATTTTTTTTTGAACTTGTGGTAGAGTCAAATGTATGCAATAAGTCATAGAATACTAGGATTTTGTTGAGTCTGGAATTGTGTTGAAGCATCTCCCTCACCTCCACCCCCTTCATTCTGAAGCACACCTACTTGATTCATCTCTGCCTCCATCCTAATATTGCACTTCCTTGAGGACCAACACATAAGGAGTGTTCAGCATGACCCCATTGCACTGCATCATCTGGACTTTTAAATAACCTTGCAGGCATAGCTCTGGACCTTCCTTGTACAATGGTGGCAGCTTAGCAAAAATTTCACCATGAAAAAAGAAAAATGATTTGGACTTCATGATCAACCAGACAGGGATACGAACAGACCCATTCTTGAGCTAAATCAGCATCTCTACTCTTGTCCCAAAAACTATAAATTCAGAAGTCATCACCACATAAAGTGCCTCATGCACAAATACTTGAACTCTGACTTCCTTTCAACAACCTTAATGGTGCTGTTCACCATAGCATTTTAACATGCCCCAGTGTTGTAATGTCATAAGTGACAAGCTCAACTATGATCATAATCAAACCTAACTCAACAGCACCTTCTGTCATAGAACATGTGGCACACCCAAGGGACGTCCCCTCAAAGCTTCTGCTCTTTTGAGCCTTTCCTTCTCTGTAAGAAGGAGGCCTACAACCCACTCCTGCAAAGTAGAGACACGAAAATAATTAACCATCTCTTCTGTTCAGCTGTAACTTATATTCCCACTGAGTAGGAAAAATGGAGACAGAAAGAAAAAATCAAGGTCTAGAGACCCACGTTTCATTTGGAACACTAGGGGTTCTTAGTGGAGATCATTAAAGTGTGGTTTGAAATATTTTCCTTTTCTCATCAAATCACTAGCCCTGTAATTGATGTCATAAAAAATATCTGTGTTCAGTTGCAGTGGGTTTCTCCGGTCCCTCCAAGTTATCAATTATTTAAGTCCCAATGAAATGAAAGGAAGCCGTAAAGCTAGGTCCTGAAATGCCACCGAAGAGTCTGAGGGTGGCATCGTTAATCTTGTGCTTTGCACCCACGAAGAGAGCATTAGAGTCTGCTTGGGGAAGTTCATTTCCCCTTCTCTCTCATACATTATCTGTGTGGGTTTTATTGCTTTGCCTCATAAATAGTCTCATTGGGCTTTTTGTTTGTTCATACTCTCCACAATTTATACTCATAATGACAAGAGGAAAAACACCAGTGGCTTCAGGTTCCACAGACCCTTTTCTCTGAGTCCTCATTTCTGTAGCAATCACGGAGACTTGTTCACCTACCAGTGTTCACAAGTCTGGATTCTGGAGAAAATTACCTTTGCAAATGGCATGATTACACTGGTATCAGAAGACTATCCACTCTATTATTTCTGCCTTGCTTTAATTCTCCATTTCCAAACTTTCCTCCCCACTCATACAGTGAAGTTATGGTAGCAAGACCAGACAATTATAGTTTTACTTGTCCTGGAGGAGGCAACAGAAAACACTTAGTGATCAGTCTTAAAACTCAGACTTGGCCATCATTCCTTCAGTAATGGAAAAAGGAGTCTTGGCCAGCACATTGCCTATTTTGATGAAGAACTTTATGGGTATTGCTGGCAAAATCTGATCCTGGCCCTTGTGCCAACTCACTACTTTCAGGTTTCTTTCAGCTTCTTTTGTAGGCCTCACTGTAATGGCTGAAACACTTTAGGGAATCAGTATTTTTCTAGACTGCACAGTAAAACAGGCCTTAGGTTTTCCATCATGCAAAGTGCAGATCCAAATGTACCAGAGTCTGTTCCTAATCAGCTCATTTCTCTGATCTACAGTGTATAAATTAAGTTGTTATCAATGAGGTGGTAGGATAAAGCCTGATTTGGAAAGCAACAAGGTGGCTGTTTTCAGGACTCAGGAGGGCGAATATATTATTGCTTCCCATGCTGTCAAAGGGAATTTTTGTGCACAGAAGACAGCATGCAGTGTAGACAGGACAGCAGCTTCTGTTCTTTCTTACTATAGCAATAGCATGGTCTATATTTTACTATTCCCTAGAGAGTTAAACCTCTAAATTGGCAGGGGAGTGGGGGAAATTCTGCCAACATCCGACTCCTGAAAACCTCAGCAACTTGATTAACTTTAGAGACTTGTAGTCTCATTTGCCAACAAGTATTATGCCATTCGGAATTTCACAATACACCATGGCAAAACAGATAACTAATATTCCTCTCACCTTCATTTCCTGCAAAGAAAGGACTGCTTGGGATAGAAGGGGACTTGTTCATTTAATGCAGCTACAACGAAGGAGGGAGGGACATTTTTGCAAAGTGATTAAAAAGGACTGCACATTTAGGTGCTGGGGTGGAGGATATGGGAGCTTCTGGGGTCTCAGCTTGGTGCTAAGTGGTCATGTGGCTGGCAGCTACGTGCTTTCTGTCCAGAGGAAACAGCAGGGAGCTAAACAATGGGAAGTAGGTGGAACAAGTGCACAGGGTAAAGGAAAGAAGTCTTTCCTTACTTTCCCATGGTCCCAATGAACAGCCACTGATGATTCTTTTAATAAA